GGTGCTTGTTATGAGATTAAAATTGATCTTGCCTGGAATTGTTTCTGAGAATCAAAGTACCTTTGTTCCGGGAAAGTTAATTAATTACTGATTGTAATACCCCGTATTTTATATGTATTTTAATTTAAATCATTATTTTATGAAGTATTTAAAAAATTTAAAATGATTTATTTATGGTATTTTATTAATTTGAAAAGGTTTATTTCAATTAAAGGTCAATTTTTATTTATTTAATTGCTTTGAAAATATTTTATTTTATTATTTAGAAACTTTGGGGCATATTATTTTATAAAAGGAAGTTTTAAAGTCAATGGAATTTTAAAAGAAGTCAAATGACTAGTTTGAATACGAGAAGGGATCATTAAGAGTAGAAAGGGAATTTAAGGTTAGGAGGGTTGAGAGGGGGTATAAATACCCATCTTATGAGCAAGTTAGATCTTGTCCAAGGTGGAGAATAGCCAAAGGGAAACTCTCTCTCTCCTCTTATTTTCTTTCCCTTAATTTTTCCCCCTCCCCTTTTGCTTTCACCTTGCACGACACACACACACGCCGCACGGGTGGCTGGCTGCCACCACCACCACCGGACGGTCACCACCAACACTCGCCGGGAGCACCGTGTGAGGCCGCGACATCCGTCCTCCCTCCCCTTGTGCGTGTGGTTCAAAAAAAAAACAACTCTTCTTTGTTTCAATCTTAATCTAGCCTTAATTTAATTATTATTTTTGGGTTGTGTGATGATTTTCATGATGTTTGATTATGATTATTATGTATATAATTTTCAGATTTAATTTTTGAATTAAAAAGCCCCAAATTGAAAACCCTAGATTTCTAAATTAATGTATATTGATGGAAATTGATAGTAGTTGGTTGGAATTATTGAAATAGGTGTTTTTAAACATAATTATAGTTCTGATTTTTACCCCATGTTCTTGCACATAAATCCCACACTGACCCACACACGCAGCCCACACCTAACCCAGTAAGCCCAGCTTCGCAATATAACCCGCCAAAATCACCTCTTACTTCCTGCAATACATAGTCCACACTGTAGGTGGTCCGCGGCCAGACCCAACACACTACAGCCCATCCGCGGACCCCTCCTTCCCACTTCTCTAACATTACCCAGCAGCCCAACTTCTCCCAATTCGATCCAATTCAGATCCCTGCTACCCCTACATCGGTCCACACTCCTCAATCACCGCACATTGTCCAACTTACACACTCTATGACCATTCGTACCCAGAGTGGTACTTTCAAGCCGAACCTCAAATATTAAGTTAATATTACGGTTCATGCTATTTCGCCTTTACTTAAAAGTCCGAAATTAGCCATGCTTGACCATAATTGGAATTGTGCCACGAATGAGGAATTTAATGCTCTAACTAAGCAGCATACTTGGGATCTTGTTCCCAGACCGGAACGGGTGAATATTATTCGTTATATGTGGTTGTTTAAACACAAGTACAGGTAAAATGGTGAATTGGAGAGACATAAGGCGAGACTTTTTCTCAATGGCAAGTCTCAACAAGTTGGTGTTGATTGTGATGAGACTTTTAGTCCTGTGGTGAAGCCGACAACTATTCGTACTGTTTTGAGTATTGATATGGGGGAGAGATTGGCCTATTCATCAGTTAGATGTCAAAAATGTGTTTCTTCATGGTGATCTCAAAGAAACCGTATTTATGCATCAACCTCTGAGATTTGTGAATCCCAATGCTCCTACTCATGTTTGTCGTCTTCGCAAGTCTCTTTCTGGCCTTAAACAGGCCCCTTGGGCTTTGTATCAACGGTTTGCTACTTATCTCTTAATTGCAGATTGGCTTTAATTTGTTTGCAGCAAAAGTGATAATTCCCTTTTTATTCTGCGCCACGGTGCAAATGTAGCATATTTATTACTCTATGTTGATGACATTGTTCTCACAGCTTCTTCCAAAAGACTCAAGTGTGATATTATTGCTCTTCTTAAGTCCGAATTCTCTATGTCTAACTTGGGAAAGCTAATTTGTTTTTTGGGATTTTCCGTGAGCCATACAAGATATTCTGTGATTCTTGGTTAGAGTAAATATTTAGAGGAAATTATTCACAAGGCAAAGATGGATAATTGTAAACCGGTTGCTACACCAGTAGATACTAAGTTGAAGCTTAGGGCTCACGATGGTGAGCAAATGAAGGATCCCTCTTTTACAGGAGCCTTGCCGGTGCACTCCAGTACCTGACTTTCACCACACCTGACTGCTTATGTTGTTCATCAGGTTTGTTTATTCATGCATGCTCCTCGAGAACCTCATTTTAACGCTCTTAAGCGTATTACCAGATATATCAAAGGCACTTTGGATCATGATCTACATTTATATCGTTCTGCTCCTTCGAGACTTATTTCATACACAGATGCAGATTGGTGCGGTTTCCCGGACACGCGGCACTCCACTTTCGGGTATTGTGTTTATTTGGGTGATAATCTTGTCTCTTGGTCTGCAAAATGACAGGCTACTGTGTCACGATCTAGTGCCGAAGAAGAATATAGAGGTGAAGCTAATGTCGTTGCCGAAATTTGTTAGCTCTAGAATCTTCTCCTAGAGCTACATTGTCCTATTCAACGGGTTCCTTGGTCTATTGTGATAATATTTTTGCCGTATACTTGTCTTGCAATCCGGCTCAATATCATCGTACCAAACATCACATTGAGAAGGAAATTCATTTTATACGTGATAAGGTCGGTCTTGGTCATATCAAGGTACTCCATATGCTCCTTTTTCTTATCAGTATGCGGATATTTTCACAAAAGGTTTACCGCGACAACTACTTTTAGACTTCAGATCCAGTCCCAGCGTTCTACCTCCTCCCGCTTCGACTACGAGGGTGTGATAGATAATAGGTTACTATTATCTTGTTAATATTCTGTAAAGATATATCTAAGTGTAATTTAGTAAATATTGTATTCTTGTAATTGGGTTTGTAATCACCAATATATATTTAGTTAATGAGAATACTCCAACTAAGGAGAATTACACAATTCTACTGCCTTAGTTAAAAGTTCATCCGCTAATGTAAATCTACAAAATAGTTATCCTTTAATTTAATTAAGAGGTCTTTAATTTTAGTTGATCTTTACATTAGTGAGGCACGTGCTAGTGTAGTCCTTTCGTACTGCATGGCACAAGCTCTTACATTACCATTAAAATAGTAAATATTATTGGTAATATATTCCATTGTTTTTGGAAATGAAGTTGTAAACTACACTATATGCACCCTAATAAAGAATCATGTTGAGGTCATAGGTATCAAAGAGAATCTCTTCTACATTTATAATTTGCATTGACAAGCTAAGTTGACAATTGCATTAATAATTTTTAAAAATATCCTTAAATAATGTAGTATGAAAAATATTATTAAATTTAGCTTTAGAAACATTTTAACACATATACTCCTTCCATTACATTAACGCCTTCCTTATTGGTAGCAACAAGTTTTGAAGAAAATAAGGTGATGAAAGAACTAAAAAGTGAGCTGTTAGTTTCATCAACTTTAGGATATGTACTGTTAGGATTCAGAATTGTCGAATTTTTTCCGTTCATTTTTTATTTTATCTATTAAATGCTCAAACTCAATTACTTCACAAATTCTTCAAAATGGCGGATGTACGTTAATTTATTGTAAAACGGGTTAAAGTTATGTTAAAAGTACTTAAAGTTCCTCTTTGTATTGCTAAAGTTATTATTATTTCTATTAATAAATTTTATCTTACAAAAAACTTTTAATGTATTAAATTAATCATATTAATCTTTATATTATGTAATCACGTATCTATAAGAAATTACACATTAAAATAAAATTCAAAACAACGACAAATTAAAAGTTACCTTTTAAGTGGTTAAAGTTACCATATAAATAGTTAAGGTTACGCTCAAACCGACCGTTTTACAATAAAATTAATGTACACCCGTTGTACACAAGACTTATTACAATTACTTAAGTTTGTGTAGGTCGGGTAGAATTAGCCAAATTTTGAAAATTTAGATATCGTCTGTCCAGTCATATATTTTGATTTATTTACATTTTTTGTCATCATTATTAGTTTCAATAGAACTTATTTGCTGATCATTAATCAATTACGCTTATTGTTAATTAGGAATTATAAAATGCGTATAATTTGCAATATCAAAAGATTAAAATTTAAATAATATATTTTAGAATGACCTATTTCTTAATTAAAATAAAGTAGATTCCATTTTATCACCATGAGCTGATAAAATGATATTCCATTTTGGTATGTTTGCTTCAAAAATCATGTTAAGTTAAATTGGTAGCAAGATAATAGGATGAAAATAAACATTGTCACAAAGAAGCTTTAGTCGAATAACCAAAAACAGTTATACCATATGTACATATACCACGTATAGATTGGATTTTAAAAACTCATTAGCAAGTTGACAAGACAAACTCTTTATAAAAATGTCAACAACTAATTGTGATTAAGTAAGTAATCCGTACATATAACACAAGCAATCAACAATCAATGTTGACGTATTTTGAACAAGATACGAAGCAGAAACATTGTCACATAGAAGCTTAATTAACCGGTTGTCCAATAATAACCAAACATGTACGATTACATCATATGTACATATTTATCCTTAATGTTCCACTAATTAATTCCACAAAACTGATTCGAACCAAGTAATTAATCTGACTTAACTGAAGTTACAACATATGCCACCCTGGTAGGACTTAGCCGGTTTGTCTTATTAATTAAATAATTAAATTAAATTACGTTTATTAGGTCTTCAAAGTGACATATACACGTATTAATGTATTCGTAAATTCATTAATTTTTTGTAGATTAAAAAAAACATCAAATAGACATTATTCACATAAAATAGCAAAGATCCAAAGAATATGCTATTACACCTAAGATGTTATGATATTAAATAAATAATTCACGAGCCTTCTTAAGACATACACGAGCCTAACACGCGCAGTAATGATTTTTATAAGTTAAATCTATATTTTATCTCTTAATTAATCCTTCTTTAAATTAAATCATCGCAAGTCTATACAAGCCTAGCATTAGATTAATTGAATCTCCTTGTTTCACCATCTATTAATTACTCCATTCGTCCCTTATTTATATGCCTATTTCTAATATTTAGTACTCACATAATAAAGAGATGTAGGCATATAAATAAATAAGGGACGGAGAAAGTAATTTTTTTTGTACATTATTATTCCTTAAATAGTACCTTAATATAAAATTACTAGTATGTTCACTTATAATGGTCATATAAATTGAGTTAAAATTACTTTGTTTTGTACTCAAAAGATTCTTATTTCCTTTATTAAGTAAATTATATTACCTGAAAAAATGTTAGCAATGTCTTCTTTATGTCCTACTAATTTAGGTTGGGATTATCCCTTAGAATTAGAGACAAAACAACCTTTTGATAACTTCGATTTGGATTCGATATTTCTTGCTAATGTATCATCATCACAAACTCCAGATTACGAAGATAATCAAATGTCTAGTGATCAAGCTAAGCGAAGTGAATCACCACAAGGTACAAGTTCAACAGATCAATTTAATAATAATCCCTCGATATCGAAGAAGCTTAATCATAATGCAAGTGAAAGAGATCGAAGAAAGAAGATCAATAATATGTATTCCTCTTTACGTTCTTTGCTTCCTACAAATGACCAAAGGGTATGTACATACTTTCTTATTTTCCGTATATTAATTTCTCTCGTATTTATTTGCACTTCGAGGTTGGAAGGAAAATCTTTTATAAGTTAATTTTCTCATTTTTTGTTGTTTAATTTTCTTCTATTAATTAGATTTTACTATCCTTCCTCATATATTTTAATTTCTAGTTTTTCACTTTTTCTTTTATAAGAATTTGAACCAATAAAGAAATATGAAGTTTGAAAGTTAATTTACTCGTACATTATTTAATACTCTGTATCTATATATTACCAATGAAATTAAAATTAAACTTTGGGTCAAAATGTCCTCCTAAAACTATACACGGCCTATATAAGAATAATACATTTATATCCGAGGTTCAATTTGTTCACTATATATAATATGCTTTCCAAAAATTGAGATTTTGTCATATTATTGAAAAAAATAGTGTAATGGTGACCTTTTTCTAATACGCAAATAATAAATATTTAAATTCGTTGCAGAAAAAATTAAGCATTCCAGCAACAGTTGAACGGGTGCTTGAGTATATACCTCAACTACAAACAGAAGTGGAGGATCTAATTCATAAAAAGGAAAATCTTCTATCAAAAACTTCAATATTACAAGGAAATGCTAGGAAAACCCTTCAAGAGGAAAACCCAAACAAATGCATTATTAAAAACACGACGTCGTCGTGTTCGATTTCTTCAAATAAATTGGGTGATAAAGAATTGGTGATTCAAATATCAGTATTTGAGAGAATATCAATCTCTGAAGTGCTTTTGGTGCTTGAGGAAAATGGTTATCTTGTTCTTGATGTTTCTTCTTTTCAATCCTTTGGAGGAACGACTTTTTACAATATACATTTGTGGGTAAGTTACTAAGTTTGTCCCTTTTTCTCATGCTATATTGTGAATTTTATTTTAGTGGGATTAAGTCTTTTAGTTTGTGAACTTAATTATAAACATAGTTAGTGGTGGAATTAGGACGATTTTACTTTGAAAATGATCAATTTTTATTTCTTTATAATTTATTAGAGATTTGAGTAAAGAAATTCAGCACGTATCTAAGTTACCACATTATTTCTTCATATTTAAAAATAAAAAAAAACCTAGTGCCCTAGTGGGGACGGGTCTCCTGTCCGTTTCCTAAGTTTCATCTTACAATTAAGATTAAAATTATATATTATTGTTTAGTACACTGCAATGGAAATTTAATTTTTTTTTTCTTAAGTAATAATTGTAACATAACATTATCTTAATCAGAATATTCTTAGCCAAAAAAAATATTAGGCACTCTTTTGATGCATTACCCTTAACCATGTATACTGTATATCTTAGTTTAAATATATTAAGTAATTTAATTGATTATCTATTGGTTAATTATACTTCCATGAGCATTATGTTAATTATGTTTGTTAGTTATGTGTGTATATTATGTGTAACAGATACAAGGAAACTGCAACATTAACTTCGAAAAGTTGAATGAAGCACTGATGTTCCAGCTTCAAAAGCAACAAATGATGCAGATGCATGTATATTCCTAGCAAAATTGAAGAACTGCCCTAATTTTAGTTTTGTTTAAATATCGATCTAACCTTTTGTGATTGAAGGATTTTTGATGAATCTAATTCTTATCACATTAACATTGGAATTTTGGAAGTTCATTGACTAAAACCTTTACGATCTAAAAGTTACTCAAGCAAGAATAACACATCATATGTGATGTATTTTTAATGAGAAATTACAAAACTCTTTTGAAGAAATTTATTTAATGTACATGACCTTAAGCAGCCCAAAAGGTCACAAATAATTTTACTTGCACGTAGCTATTAATGCTTATCTGACTTATAACACAACCTAAACCCTCACCTACAATGAGTCTTCAAGTATCACTTATCGTGAAGTTCCAAGTTTAAATGTATATACTTGTAACCAAAATCTACCTCGAAAGATAGGGTTTGCTCCCTTGCGAAAAAGGATCGACCTTTGTCACGAACGATTGCGCTCCGACGTTATGGCCAAGGACCTGATTGAGAAGTGTTCCTCTTTGCGATTGAATGATGATGATTGTAGTGTGATGGATTAAGGACAAATTGATAGTACAAAACCTAAAGAAAACCTTGCGCTGATTTTGGTAGGGCGATTGTATACTGCTCGCACTTACAATGTCGAGGCTTTCAAGCGAACGATGTTGAAGGTCTGGGCTCTGTCTGAGGGGCTGATTATTAGAACTTTGAGCCCTAATTTGTATGCTTTCCAGTTCTTTCACTGGCGTGATAAGGAGAAAGTATTCAAAGGGAGACCGTGATGTTGGGATAACCATCTGCTGGTGCTAAACGAAGTGCGAGGGGATGAACAACCCGACCATGTTAATCTGCAATTCAACCCCTTCTGGGTAAGGGTGGGTAAATTACCCTTCAATTGTTGATCAGACGACTATGTGAAGGCTTTAGTTACTGGGCTTGGAAAATTAATTGAATTGGAGGAAGACACCCTTGGCTTGAACCGTTACAGGAGAGTTTGCATCATGATTGATGTGGATGGACCCTTGCGCAGATACTAGAGAGTTCGAGATAGAGGCGGGAATGAGATAAAGGTGGAATTCAAATATGAACCGTTGCTGTATTTTTGCTTTGCTTGTGGGGTAATTGGGCACTCGGAGAAAGACTGTATGGCTGTGTCAGAGGAGGAGAAGGAGAAGCGGTTGGGGTGGGGGATTTTTCTTCGAGCCTTGCCGAGAAAGGGTAGAGCAAATGAAGTGGAGGAGCTTGAGAACATAACCAAGGGCAAACGCCAATTGTTTAGGACGAAGGAAGTGGAAGAGCAATTTGAGTGTGTTAATAAATCCAGAGATGAACAAATTGTGTCCTTGGCCATAACAGGGGAAAATAAAGATGGGGATGGGTGGAAAAAGGGAGATGTGCGGGGAGAAATGGTGGTGGAACTGAATGCAGGAGATGAGATATTACTGGGTGAGAAAGCTACAGGGTATGATAAGGTGTTGGCGCCCGACCAAACCTTTACATTTGCAGCAGCTAAGGAGTCTTCTCCTAAGCCTAGTGGGGGGAGAGCGTTTACAAGAATAACTAAAGTGGGTGTGGGGAGACAAGGTGGATGTGGAGATGCAACTACGTGGCAAAAGAGAGGGGCTAATGCCTTGCTAACCAATCAAGAACCAAGTGGCTTGGAGGATAGAAAAAAAATGAAGTTTGCAGGATTAGATTACCAAGATGATATTATGGCGGAGGTTGGCTTAAACCAACCCCAACGCGAACAATGAGTCTACTTTGCTGGAACTGCCGCGAGACGGGCAACCCCTGGTCAGTTCGTAGACTACGTAAGTGGAGTAATCTCTATGCCCCTGACATGGTGTTCATTTCGGAGACTATGATCAGTAAAATTGATGTGGAAGGTTTAAAAGGGAGGATTGGTTTTTCGAGTGCTTTTGGTGTTTCTAGTAGAGGGAAGTCAGGGGGTATTTGTTTCTTTTGGAATGAGGACAAGGTGGATTTTTCTCTTGTTTCTTTCTCGCAAAATCACATTTGCGGGGATGTGAATAAGGGTGGTGTGATTTGGATATTTGTAGGTATTTATGGGTGGCCGGAATCTTCCAATAAGCATCGTACTTGGAAACTCATTCAACATTTATGTGAGGGAGTGGAGTTATCGATTATTTTTGGGGGCGATTTTAATGAAATCCTTACATATGATGAAAAGGAGGGGGGTTTGAATAGAGATAGAAGAGAGATGGCAAACTTCAGAGAGGCTATGAATAGTTGTGAGCTTAGAGATCTTGGCTATAGGGGGCAATGGTGGACTTGGGAGAAGGGTGTTTCGGCTTCATTAAAGGTGCAAGAGAGACTTGATCGCTACATTGCTTCTCCATCTTGGTTTAGACTTCATCCCGGGGTCTATGTAGAACACTTGCTAAAGTATCGTTCAGATTACACTCCTATTTTCACCCGATTTGAAGAAAAGAATGGTCGCAAAAAGAAGAGTAAGAGAAGATATATGTTCAAAACAGCTTGGTTACTTGATGATGATTGTGAAGCTACAATTCGGGGTGCGTGGAATGCTGTGGCAGGTGAAAGTGTGGTTCAAAAATTGCTAGCAGTTGGGAATAAACTTTTGGAGTGGAGTAGAGAAAAGTTTGATGATATTGGGGGCCAAATTGAGGATAAAGAAGTAGCTCTAAGGGCTGCCCAGCAGAACCGAATCTCCCCTGCAAGTTGTGAAGCATGTGTTCGACTTGAGAAAGAACTGGGTGCATTACAGGGGAAACATGAGGCTCACTGGTATATGCGTTCTAGAGTTGCGGAGATACGTGATGGAGATAGGAATACTAGTTATTTCCACCATAAAGCATCACAACAAAAGAAGAAGAAAAGGATTGTAGCTAGGACTATTTGACTCGGACAGGGAGTGGCAAGGTGATGACAAGAAAATTGAAGGAATTATTTTCGATTACTCCAGGGGATTATTCGAGTCAGATTTGCCTTCCGATGAAGCCCTTGATGAAGTTCTCCGGCATGTTCAGAGTACTATTTCTCCGGAGCAGAACTTAAGTCTTTCTCAAGCCCCATACGAAAGATGAAATTTTTGCAGTTTTGCAACAAATGCACCCCTGTAAGGTGCTGGGCCCTGATGGTATGCATGCTATATTTTAACAGAAATTTTGGAATATTGTTGGTGATGAGGCGACTAATTTTGTGAGTGGTGTGTTACATGGTTCTTTGTCTTTGGATCATGTTAATAGAACTAATATTGTTTTAATCCCGAAAGTTAATGAGCCGAAAGCGACTGCAGAAATCCATCCTATTAGTTTGTGTAATATCTTATATAAGCTTGTCTCGAAGGTGCTTGTTATGAGATTAAAATTGATCTTGCCTGGAATTGTTTCTGAGAATCAAAGTACCTTTGTTCCGGGAAAGTTAATTAATTACTGATTGTAATACCCCGTATTTTTTATGTATTTTAATTTAAATCATTATTTTATGAAGTATTTAAAAAATTTAAAATGATTTATTTATGGTATTTTATTAATTTGAAAAGGTTTATTTCAATTAAAGGTCAATTTTTATTTATTTAATTGCTTTGAAAATATTTTATTTTATTATTTAGAAACTTTGGGGCATATTATTTTATAAAAGGAAGTTTTAAAGTCAATGGAATTTTAAAAGAAGTCAAATGACTAGTTTGAATACGAGAAGGGATCATTAAGAGTAGAAAGGGAATTTAAGGTTAGGAGGGTTGAGAGGGGGTATAAATACCCATCTTATGAGCAAGTTAGATCTTGTCCAAGGTGGAGAATAGCCAAAGGGAAACTCTCTCTCTCCTCTTATTTTCTTTCCCTTAATTTTTCCCCCTCCCCTTTTGCTTTCACCTTGCACGACACACACACACGCCGCACGGGTGGCTGGCTGCCACCACCACCACCGGACGGTCACCACCAACACTCGCCGGGAGCACCGTGTGAGGCCGCGACATCCGTCCTCCCTCCCCTTGTGCGTGTGGTTCAAAAAAAAAACAACTCTTCTTTGTTTCAATCTTAATCTAGCCTTAATTTAATTATTATTTTTGGGTTGTGTGATGATTTTCATGATGTTTGATTATGATTATTATGTATATAATTTTCAGATTTAATTTTTGAATTAAAAAGCCCCAAATTGAAAACCCTAGATTTCTAAATTAATGTATATTGATGGAAATTGATAGTAGTTGGTTGGAATTATTGAAATAGGTGTTTTTAAACATAATTATAGTTCTGATTTTTACCCCATGTTCTTGCACATAAATCCCACACTGACCCACACACGCAGCCCACACCTAACCCAGTAAGCCCAGCTTCGCAATATAACCCGCCAAAATCACCTCTTACTTCCTGCAATACATAGTCCACACTGTAGGTGGTCCGCGGCCAGACCCAACACACTACAGCCCATCCGCGGACCCCTCCTTCCCACTTCTCTAACATTACCCAGCAGCCCAACTTCTCCCAATTCGATCCAATTCAGATCCCTGCTACCCCTACATCGGTCCACACTCCTCAATCACCGCACATTGTCCAACTTACACACTCTATGACCATTCGTACCCAGAGTGGTACTTTCAAGCCGAACCTCAAATATTAAGTTAATATTACGGTTCATGCTATTTCGCCTTTACTTAAAAGTCCGAAATTAGCCATGCTTGACCATAATTGGAATTGTGCCACGAATGAGGAATTTAATGCTCTAACTAAGCAGCATACTTGGGATCTTGTTCCCAGACCGGAACGGGTGAATATTATTCGTTATATGTGGTTGTTTAAACACAAGTACAGGTAAAATGGTGAATTGGAGAGACATAAGGCGAGACTTTTTCTCAATGGCAAGTCTCAACAAGTTGGTGTTGATTGTGATGAGACTTTTAGTCCTGTGGTGAAGCCGACAACTATTCGTACTGTTTTGAGTATTGATATGGGGGAGAGATTGGCCTATTCATCAGTTAGATGTCAAAAATGTGTTTCTTCATGGTGATCTCAAAGAAACCGTATTTATGCATCAACCTCTGAGATTTGTGAATCCCAATGCTCCTACTCATGTTTGTCGTCTTCGCAAGTCTCTTTCTGGCCTTAAACAGGCCCCTTGGGCTTTGTATCAACGGTTTGCTACTTATCTCTTAATTGCAGATTGGCTTTAATTTGTTTGCAGCAAAAGTGATAATTCCCTTTTTATTCTGCGCCACGGTGCAAATGTAGCATATTTATTACTCTATGTTGATGACATTGTTCTCACAGCTTCTTCCAAAAGACTCAAGTGTGATATTATTGCTCTT